GGCCTTGTTAGAACGAACGACTCTGATAGGACGCGTTTGAGGTGGTGGAGGGCTTGCTCGAACTCTTCCGCCCATTCGAACATGGATTCCTTCCTAAGTAACTTGAAGAAGGGAAGGGCGTATTGTGCGGATTTGGCGATGAAGCGAGAGAGAGACGCAAGCACACTGTTGAGGGATTGTATGGATTTTTTCGAGTTAGGCGTAGCGATCTCGAAAAAAGATCGTCACTTGTCAGGGTTAGCTTCGATTCCTCGTTCGGTTAGATAGAAATCGAGGAATTTCCCTGCTCAAACCCCGAAGGTACACTTTTTTGGATTGAAACGTATTTTGCAGCTCCTCGCCGTTTCGAAGACTTTTTTTAGGTGAGCAGTGTGGTCGGCTTCTGTACAGGATTTGACTATCATGTCTTCCATGTACACTTCGAGCATGTCGCCGATTTCTTGTCGGAAGACTTTGTTCATCATCCGCTGGTACGTGGCGTCGACGTTTTTCAGGCCGAAGGGCATCACGTTGTAGTAGTAATTGTCCGACTCGATCATGAAGGTTGTGCTTTGTTCGTCCTGGTCAGCCATATGGATTTTATTGTATCCCGAGTAGGCGTCCATGAAGGATAGAAGTTTGAAGCCCGCCGAGTTGTCGACGAGCTTGTTGATGTTAGGAAGGGGGTAGGCGTCCTTAGGACATGCCCGGTTGAGATCAGTATAATCAACACACATGCGCCATTTTCCATTATTCTTTTTAACGAGTACAACATTGGACATCCAGGTTGAATACCGGGCTTTCGAAATAAAATATGCCTCTAAGAGGTCTTTTACAGCTTTTTCAGCAGCCCCCGCCTTTTCAGGGGACTGCCTACGTCTATGTTGTGCTATGGCCTTAGCGGCGGGGTTGACGGAAAGTTGGTGGCATGCCATCTCAGGGTCGAGTCCGGACATCTCTGCGGCGCTCCAGGCGAAGAGGTCAGCGTTCTCTCGGAGACAGGCTCTTAGCTGCTTCCTCGCAAGTTCGGGCAGTCCCGCTCCTATCTTCACGGTCTTCTAGGTGTCGTCACCTAGGGTCACTATCTCGAAGTCTCCATCTGGAATGGGTCGCGTTGGGTAGGCGAGCTGCCCGTTGGTTATCAGAAGTGTGTCGTTGATGCTGTCCTCAGAGTCTGACTCTTCAGTGAAGCAGCTGTCGAGGTCTACTGAGCCAACCTGGTCCTTTGGCTTGCCTTCTGGTGCGTTGGGAGGCGCTGCCTTCATGGTCAGAGCACCGATAGTGCTTAGTCCCTTCAGGGCGTCCTCAAAACATCGGCGGGCGGCATCGATTTCCCCGTTGAGGGTGACGACAACCCTTCTCTTGGTGTAGTATTTCATCTTTAGATGAACAGTGGAGGGCACCGCGGTGAGTTCAGCTATCGTTGTTCTGCCCAGGATGCAGTTGTAGAGGGATGGACACTCAACGACCAGGAAACAGACATTGATCTCCTTGGCTGTCTCCTTATCCCCGAAAGTGACCTTCAGCTCTACGTACCCCCATGGCCTTGTCGTTGTCCCGTTGAAGCCCTGGAGGTCAGAACCCAGGTACGGAGATAGGTTGGACTCATCGAGCTGGAGGGTGGAGAAAAGATGGGTGTACATGATGTCCACCGAGCTCCCTCCATCGACTAAGATGCGACGAACGTTGAAGTTCGCCATTTGTGCCCGTATTAGGAGAGGGATGGTGGAGTTGGGTGCACCATCGAAGAGTTTCTCGAGGTAGAAGATGATCGGGTTGGATTGTCCTTGGAATTTCTCCAGACTGCTCATCTTGCTGAAGCTGTTGGTGATGAGCTCCTCAAAATTTCGCTTCACCGACCCTACGGATATCTTGGTCGGGGTTCCACCAGAGATGAACATTGCCTTTGGGAAGTACTCCCATTGGCTGTTCAGGCGCACAGGTTCGTCGGGGAGATCGAAGTCGGAGGGGAGACCGAATTCCCTGAGGGCGAACAAATCTTCTGGCCGACTAATATTGAGGGCGACCTGTAGGCCACTATCATCGTCGGGGGGTAGGGAGGTCATCGACTCTCTTTGCTTCGGGAGTCTCTTTTTGTCGCCGGGGCTCTCCTCCCCGAGTGTACCTTTTCAGGTGCCCGTCTTTGATTAATATTTCGATCGCATCCTTCAAGTGGATGCACTCCTTAGTAACGTGGTCGTGACATTTGTGGAAACGGCAGTACTTCGACTTGTCCACGTTAGGCTTTAAGGGTGTCTTCCTGGGAAAGCGGACACCTCTCTGGACGAACTCAATTTTGGCGCACTCAGCCAGTATGCGCTCGCGAGAAGCGACGAGGGCGGTGTACTCTGTGAAACGACCAGCTGGTCCTTTTTGCTCGCCGGACTCCCTGAAACGATCTTCTCGTCGTCGGTCTCCTCCCTGACGGTGATTTGAAGATCCGTCTTCACGGGACCTGCGGGGGGTCTCCCTGTCTCGGGTGTCACGGGAGGAGTTGGCCGCCTGTGTCTCCTCGAAACGGATGTAGTGTGTCGCTCTGTTGAGGAAGTCCTAAAGGGAACCTGGTCGGTGAATGACCACAGCTTCATAAAATTTAGAATCGCGGCACAGGCCTTGTTCCATCAGGTAGCGTTTCATTTCGTCAGAGGTCGTCACCTGCACTGCCTCCCGGGTGAACCCCTCGATGTAGTTTCAGAGAGGTTCGCCAGGGGCCTGGATTATTGGATCCAGAGCGGCTTCTGTCTTCGGATGGCGCCTGGACGCTGTGAAGTGTCGCGAGAAGAGGTCTTTTAGTACTCTCCACGAGGAAATGGACTCCAGCTTCAGGCTTTTGTACCAAGTCATGACACCTTTCCTCAGAGTTGTTGGGAAGAGTCTGCACTTGATAGCACCCCGAACGTTGCGATAATCGAGCATGGGGTCGATGTCCTCCAGGTGGTCGTCCGGGTCAGAGGTATCATCATACGTCGAGAGTGTCGGGGTTTCTCCATTCTGCGCGGAATGAGAGCTGCCATGATTTCCTGGGACAAGGGAGTCTTGTGTTCGTCTTCGTCGCTGAGAATCAGCGAATGAAGGGGTGATCGCACTAGTGGTGGAGGAGCTTAATTTTGTGGCCTCTACTGTCTGGCCGGGGGATCGACCCTCGGAGGTCTGGCCGGGGGGTCTCCCCTGGCCAGGCGCTGTTCTCGGGTTCTCCTTCTAGGTGACCTGCTTCGTTCCCGTGCTGCTACGGGTTGAAGCCTCTCTAGTCGAGGTCGGCGATTTTTGACACGGGGAGACGGGCTCCTCGAGTTTCCGTTCTGGTCTTCCCGCAGAGGGGACCTTAACAGGGCTTCACGCTCCAGTGCGCCAATGCGCGTGCTCTGCTGAAATAACAGCTGATTTGTCTGGTTGATGGCCACGAAGAGGGCGGTCACCGTTGGGTCTGCTCCAGCCGGTATGGGGATGGGCTGGAATGTTGTCGGACTCCTCGGTCTGAGAACGGTCTGGTGAGTAGCTTCGTCGGACGAGGGAGAGGCAGACTGACCGTCTCTCTCGTCGGCCTCTAGACGTTGGGATGTCTCTGTTTGCTTGCTACCGTTCGTGGAGGGAGCGTGAATTAGGTCGTGAATGACATCATCGTGGTATGGACTGGACAAGATCGCGAAGTGTTGATGAAACTTTTGTTCTCTACTCGGAGGAACGAGAAAGTTTAGTTTCCCACAGACGGCGCCACTGATCCGACCTGATTAGAAGGGGATCACGGACTGGTCACACTCTGCTGGACTGCTGCATGTTCACCTGTGTTGAAAAAGAGAAGGGGGGTGTACCTGCAAGACACACTGATGCCAAAGTAAGAAATGGGCAGAGTGACAGCAAATACAGAAGGTAGGTTAAGAAGTGAATACCTGACTCTCTTGTGGAATAGGGTATTTATATAGAGACCCCAGCGCTGGATCAACGGTCATTTGAGTTAGGCTGGATGATCAGCCCCAACCCAAGTGACTGCTAGGGCTTACGTGGCGTAGTGAAGACCAGAACGTGGTCTTCGCCCTAGTCCAACTGCTACATGAACTCCGGAAAGTGGACCTGCTCTTTCGAAGGTGGGTAGTTGGGAAGTGACGTGTCCCCACGGAGGGGAGCACGTGGAGAACGTGTGAAGGACACGTTTATCCTGCTCGCCAGGGGGGAGGAGGTCCTGCCCGAAGAGGGCATCGAGTGCTCGATTGGGATTATGTGTCCGATGGGGGTTATGTGCCCGACAGGACTATGTGTCCGACGAAGCAATCCAAGCTAGTTTGGCCTGTGAAATGATACTGGGCTGAGCTTGCTCGTTCAAGCCGAGGCCCAGTCCAAAACAGTTACGTGTTTCCATTTTCACACTTTTCTCATAGGGCTGTAAAGGTTTTGAAAGCTACATTTTACAATATTTATTTTGGACTACGTTTTATTATTTCGGTGCCATTATTTGGCACTTATACCATAGTGAAGATATTGTGCCTCTGTTATTTCTATGCTATCTGACTATTCAAAAAAATTTTGAAACTTGCTTTAAATGTTCAGTTAACTCGCACTGAAAAAAATATAATTATTGAGCAAATGTGTTCACAGAACTTAACTTCTGTTCTGGGTTCCTGACTCAATCCATCTTGATTTCACATTGTTTATAGACTACATATGGTAGAAGGGACATTACCTATTCATGAAAAGCTATTACATAAAACCAAACTTCCAAATTTTATTCTGTTTTCCAAATTACTCGTTGGAGGGGGAACGAGGATTGAGGAATGAAGTGTGTCTCATATTTCCAGAATTTAATTTACAGCTCACAGGGAAATGATCATTCTTACATCGACATAAAGCAAAACCAAATGTTAGATTTCCAAAACATGATATAGAAAGAATTACTCCCCCCACCCATTCTTGTAAAACAAAATCGCAATCCCTAAAGCTCCATTCTACTAGTCTTTATCCTGAAGCTAACCCAAGACAACTATTTTACTAGTACTAGTTATTATACGACCGTCTCACTCAGATCTGTCTCACTCGGATTTACCATAATCTTGTGCATCGTATGATCCTGTATTCTTCACAGCATCCTTTGTCAAATCTTCCTTCAGCTAAATCAATACATAAAGGGACAATGAAATGGAGAAAAAGGTCAATAATTGCATATTGTATTTGTTGTATTGTATACCAAACAAGAAAAATGTCAAAGGAACTCGAGTAAAATGAAAATGTTCTTAAGCTAATTAAAGCCACAAGTTCTAAATGGCAATGCTGAATAAACTTACATTTCGAAGTATCTTCTTTTGATACCGAAAACCCTGTGATATAAACAAAATAAGAATGTTGCAAATCAATTAGACACGTGGAGAAAAATAAGATATACATGTAGAGCAGAAGAATTCCAGAATCATGATCTAACCTTGTCAGTTCCATAGATGTAATCGCAGTACGTGAAAACTGATGCAAAATTGCTATGGCTTTGTCCTCCAACATAATGATGGTAATCATGATGCTCGGAGCCACCATAAAATGGAATATATTTTGTGGGATTCCAGGGGAAGTCATACCTTCAATATGATAAGGTAAGCAATCAAATATAAAAATCAGATACAAAATTTCAATTGCAAATTCACCAAGATAAAATCCTTCAGAAAAAAAAAAAAACAGGAATTATTTTCAAATTCAAGATGCAAGCAAGACCAAGATATTCCATCTCAGCAAGACTAATTTCCATTAAAAAACAAAGGCAATTAACTGCATCTATTACCATAAAAATTACAGCATCTAGTTTGAGCATATAGCAATTAACTGCACAAGTGAATTATAGAAATTGGTTGAACTTTAAGTTTTCCATTCACTCGTACTATGCACATGTATGTATTGTTGTTGAGGTGGAAAACACCATAGAGGTTCATATTTAGGAACAGTTTTTGTATTACACTATCAAAGCAAAAACTTGTGAAGGTTTGTCATGGACAAACTTAAGTAGACTCTTCTACACTGTTGAAAAAGCATAAACTATCAAAGGTCTGTCCGGAAATATTTCAGTTGAACTTCTTGCTACTGGCTAGATTAACTTTCAACATAATGTAACAAGTTTTCGTCGTTAAAAGAGAAGTGCCACCCAAGATCGCTTGGATAGGATGATTTGGGTTGCTCCAAGTTTGACAAGAGATTGGTCAATTGGTCAAATCACGCCTTGAACATGTAAATTTTTGAAAGAGTTTTGTCATCCATTGCAATCTTAGCCAACTTTTAGGATTAATTTCTCTCGTTGCGTGCGGCGGATATCCAATTTACACAAGTATGAAAAAAATAGAGCACCTCAACCTCATACAAGACTGATCTTGAGTAGAAATCGAAAACATATAAATGAATCATCACCATTTTTAAGCCATATTATCATTTTAACTGTATCTCTACTCTCCTCACTGTAGCCAGCCCGCAAAAATCTTTATTTACTGTCCTTTCATCATCATAAATGTATAACCAAAGGAAGGAAAGGACCGAAACAACAGTAAGCCAGTCAATCACAGAATCATTCTTATACTTTCATTTTATCCATGACCCAACTAAAACCCCAATTGTAACTGTATCAGCCGCATTTATCCGAATTAATCTTACTTTGAAACACAGATCGCAATAACACTAATTGTTTAATAAAAAAAATACACAAAACAAAAGAAGTAAAAAGGTGTATGTAATCATAGATCTCACAATCTCAGGCCCCATAAAAGATAAAAGTAACCCACTATTAAAGATCCTTTAAATCCAAACACTTTCCAAAAGGACATTTATTAAGATTTGTCAAAAAAAATCAACAAAAAGAAAGAGGTATTGAAAAGGACAGAAAGATGTACCCGCTATGCGTATCAATAGCTTCAACTTGGCGCAATGCTATCCACAACCAAAACGTAATCATGTGACCAGGGGCCAACGCAGGTCCAAGAAAAGACGGAATCCCAAGTATCAAGATCTCCGCCCAGTGAGCATAAGGCGCCGCAAATCCAATCGGAGCTTGATATTCATGGTGAACACGATGAATCTTGTCGTAACCCCATTTATTATGCAGAAACCTATGGATCCAGTAATTCGTATAATCCTCCACCAAAAAATACACCACCAATTGCGACAAGATCTCCCATCCAGACGGTAACGGTAACCCTGCCCTAATCCCAATCATCTGAAATACCAAAAATGATCCACAATTAACATAATGTATAACCATAACAGTAATTGCAAATTGTTAGTGCGATTGTGAATGAAAGGACCTTGATGGAAGGATATGAAACGAGCTGAAGAGGACCAACGACGAGGAAGAACATAACCATAACATCTTTGTAGCAATTGAGCATTTCATGGAGGGATAACCGAACTTTAGGCTGGATCTTGTACGAATCGAATGGGTACAATCGTTTAATTTCAAGAAAGACGAGTGGGAGAGGGACGAGGGAGAAGACTAGGAAAAGGAAAATAATGTTGTGGCAAAAGAGAACGTAATCGGATTTGGTAGCGGAGTAATTGAACCAGAGGGTTTCGGCGAAGGTGAGATTGCGACCGAGAGCGATCTCGGCATCGTGGAGAGAATGGTAGGGGATCATCGTCTTCGTCGCCGGGAAGAAATAAACCCTAGGAAGAAGTGCCGGCGGCGGCGAGAAAAGAGGATGTAGATTTGTGATGGAGAGAATGTGTGGTGGATGCTGCGCTGGAATGTTTGTCAGTTAACACGCAGTTTATTTTGCGGGAATTTTTAAAAGTACACACGACTCTTATTTATAGAGTCGCTAGAATATTCCAATCTTTTTTGCTCTATGCCTTTGTCTATGAACTCATTTTTTTATTTTTTGTGATTGGGAGAGACGTAAAGACAACAACACTTCACTACTTGCAAAAATTATTATTAATCATGCTATTGTATTATTATGACACTTTATTCATTGATATTTTATATGGCTTCAATGTTTTGCCATACATAATCGCCGTTGTTTTTGCACATGAGTAGGGAATATATATATGTTAAGCTCAAATCTAAATAAGGAAAGCAATATGTTTATTTCCTACTTTGATTAAAAATGAAATCTTACTTTTATTATTGTCTATGGATTCAATTTTAATTTTTTACTTAAAAAATAATAGTCTCTCTAATAGTTCAACACAATAAACCAAAACATAGTAATAATAAAGTAGGAAATTCGATATCAATTAAAGAATAAAAATATAAAAGTAACAAAATATAAAACAAAAACTAACCTCTAAAAGTATAAAGAGATGGAGAGAGGGAGAGAAAGTATATACACTAAGAAACAAATAAAAGAAACAATATAGACAAAAAAGGTACATAAAAGAAGATTAAAAAAACATATAAAATATAAGTTGATAAAGATAACAATAAAAAAATCACATTGAAAAGATGAAAATAAGGTAATAAAGCACAAATATATTCAATTTAGAATTAATATAATAATAATAAATATATATAAATATATATTTTGCGGGTATGGGGTGGGATGGGTATTACGGTACTCGTACTTGTATACCCGCTTATTTTAGTGGGTAATTGTTTGTACTTGTACCCGTATCCATTTTGTAGGTTTTTATCCTACTTGTTGTGGATGATTTTTGCAGGTTCCCACCGGGAATGAGTCCAATTGTCCTCTCTATGTGAAGTAGCTCAAGGCATATGTATTTGTTGAATTAAATAATCGTAAATTACAAGTTTAAGGTACAATATTTGACGAAAACATTTTTTTTATAAAAAAACATCAATTAATGGAGCCTCGTGTCACTAATGGCATGTGCTAAAATACAATGAGACACATCCTCCATTCAAATTTTGTTTTTGGCCTTAGTGGCATACTTATCAAGATTATGGGCCACAACACTATTGTCCCTTTTAGTGTGACTGAATCTATTTCCTCTAAACTTGTTGGATCTAACTTTGATGTAGTTACATACCTTTATAAATGTTGTCATGTATTTCATTGTACCTCCATTGACATAATCAATCAGAGTTTTGCACTTAGATTCAAAAATCACCATATTGAAGCATCCAACTATAGCTAGATCAATGGCCTTCTTCATAGCCATAGTTTCAACAAGGCGAAGATTTCTTACCCTTTCTTCGATTCATTGCAAGCCATAAGCGTTTTCCCATTGTCATATCTGAATATGATACATGTTCTGTTCGAAAACTAGAAATGGAAGCTTTAGCTTCGCAAAGGAACAAAAAATGAAGAGAGTTGGATAGTTGTTAAACTTGAATGGTGGTTTCGATCTCATTTACGATGGCGTGGAGGTGGACCCGCGTGGTTAGCACTCCAATGCCCAAGTCAGTTCAAGATTTAAGATGAGTATAATGAAAGTGTAGATCAGAGATTGTACCATGCTCTTAGCATGTGAATTGTTTTATACTTTAGATCGAGTAAAAAATTAAGATGGATTGAACCTTGGTCATTTGGGCCTTTGGCCGGTTCAGAATAGTTGTCTCCAAGGCTTTCTCGAGCACTTAAAGAATATAGGGGAGCCTTAAGTTTTCAAGTTACAGTTACTTTCCAAAGAAACGTCTTCCTTCCTTTTTCTATGAGAATATCACTAGACATGTTTTAGAGCTTCACTTAAAGCTTTCTCCTTTTTCATTCCTCCTACTTGATCAATCTCATAACTCGTACCTTTCTAACTCGAACTTTTCCTTCAGCATTTTATGTTTCCTTAATTAGGATGAATGATAATACTATCGATTTAGTGAGGAATTCAGAAGTTAAAACTTTATTTGGGTTATCAGAAGCCCTTATATCAAATGTTGAAGGAATAAAAAATCGCGTCAAGGTCTCTGTGCCCCTTCCTATCTTGTTTGAAGATGAGGTACATGCCAACTTACAAAGGAGGGAACATGATAGGGGTTTCATTCAAGTCCATCTGCTGGATGAAGGTTATGAGCCTAGCGATGTTGAGGTGCTAGAGTACTTAAATCTTTGAAACTGGCCAGATGTGTTGATGTACGACTGGGCGGATGTAAAAGTAGAGGGAATTTCTTTGGCTATGAGAACTGATGTCTCCCTAAGCTATGTTGACATAATGGTTTGTGATACTTTAGAGTTGTTGGTCCATCTGGAACCATAGCAGAAGAGGATATGCAACTCTTTTTATGACTACATGGTTCTACTTTTGTATGCAAGGCGGATCTTGTAGACACTGTGACCACTTTGATAGTGAATAAACCAAACTCGCATCTGGTTCCGACAAAGACGACCCAGGAGGAGGAGCAATAATCCCCTTAGGCTGAGTGCTCTCAATAACAGACTCAGTTCGTTGAGGTAAATGCTTTGAGGAGGTAGCTCCTTTCATAAAGATGCCAAACATTTTCTCCTATCAACTTCTATACACTCATGGGGATGTTGATGTTATTGTGCTAACATTAAATTTATCCTTCGTCCAAAACCTCTTTGAGGGGGGATAATATGGAAAATACTTTTGAAGTTGGTCACAACATGTTCAAAAATGCTTCTATTTTTTCTTCCGTCTTTGCTAGATGGGTAATGTTTTGGCTTCAGGTAATCCTTATCAAAAAAAGGGATACTTGAAAAGGGAAGGTTGAATCTATGGAGTTGAAGTGCCTTAATATTCAGGAGGATATTGTCGTGCTACGTGAGGAATGGAAAACTATCAATTCTTTGCAAAAGAAGGGGAGATACATGGCTCTCATTTAGTTCTGGTTTTTGGTATGATTGAATTGGAGGATTCTCTTCAAGATACGGATAAGCGGTACAATGATGCTTCTGATTTGGTTGAGGAGAAGGCACGTCATGTAGAAGAGCATCAAAAAGCCTATCTTCAAGCGACCAACGTCCATGTAGAGGCCTTGAAATTTCTCTAGGACAAGGTAGCCTATATGAGATAAGCGCTTCATGACTCTCTTCAACAAACAATGAAGGAGGTGTTTGAAGTTCGTGAACGAGTTATGGAGTAGGCAAGGAAGTTATTCCTTGTTGTTGCAATTTCTGTTGAGGCACTAGATCCTTTAAAATATGCTCTTAGAGTGACTCAAGGAGGTGGCTCTAGTGCCTCGGCTTCAAATGCTTCTACTTAATTTTCCTTTTGTATTATTTATTCCATGCAATGTTTCCCAGATTTTTGTACCTTAGGTGTAACGATTTTGAATATGTAATGAAATATTTTACCTTGATGCTTCAAGTACCATACACTTTACAACTTTGCATCGATTTTTCCTTTAACATTATCGTTGCTTACAAATTATTACAACTCTAGGCTTGCTCTTTTGCTTTGTGAAATTTTTATTCGCTTTAAAGTTTAGGTCGAATCGTCGACGTTCCTCAACTATGTTGGGATGCCTGTTTTGGGAGTGAGAGCCTTTACTATTTTCTTTATGGAAGAAACACCGCATTTGATTTTAATGAAGTGGCAGACATGCCTTGGAATTTTCCTAATATTTGCAACTAAGGTGGATAATCATACTTAGGATTTGGGGTGAGACTTCATTTCTAAAGGTATATCTCTTTGTTGGACGGGGTGTTGAAGTACCTTACTTTAGGACTCGCTTGCCAATGTGCGATTGGAAGATCGAACCTCTAAGCGACCGTGGATGCTTTTAATTCATCGAATTTCTTTGTCAAATGCTTTGAAGGGATGCCTTTTGATCGTCGGTGTCGGGTTCCTTACCTGTCGAGATTTCCTTTGGAATGGAAATGTCGAGCAACGATTGTAGGTAGCCGTTAATCGGCCTCCTTTCCACTAGAGTGCGAGGTGAATTTATTTGGGCATGCTTGGTGACCCTCGACTTTTTGACCCGTTATGAAGAGACCTATTGCATTAAGCGGAAATCTCGTGGAACCAATGGGATGTACCCCGACATTAGATCGGAAATTGATGTTAAGTACAAACTTATAGTAAAGGGAAATCTAGATCCAAAATACAACGGAAATTAAAATTTTCTATTTAGTGATCCTTACGAATGGGCACGATCAGTGATAGAAACCATTAACTCTTGTGACAATAAAACCTTTGATGCTGAATCGAATGCGTGATCACGAGCGTTAAATGATGAATAAGGCCTCTACTTAGTCCACGTGAACAGATTCCTTTAATCTCAGTACTAGATGTTACGATTAAAGGCTTTGAGCGAGAGAGTGAGTGTGTGTGTGTGTGTGTGTGTGTGTGTGTGTGTGTGTGTGTGTGTGTGTGTGTGAGAGAGAGAGAGAGAGAGAGAGAGAGAGAGAGAGAGAGAGAGAGAGAGAGAGAGAGAGAGAGAGAGAGAGAGAAGGAAAATATGATTATGGTTTCACAGTCCGAATTTTTATCAAAAGGGAATGCTTATGCACAAGGGTTCTATTTATAGAACCACTTGTATGGGATGCAATCTAAAAAGCCCACTTAAGTGTGTGGTACTTTACCACATTCTGTATTCTACTTAAGTGCATTGTACCTTACGATGTTCTACATTTACTTAAGTGCATTGTAACTTATGGTGTTCCTTATTTACTCTGCCTCTTATCAATCTGTCCTTATGTGTGTAACCCCGTAGGTTTTCGCGATGTTGGCAATTATATTAAATCATGCATTTAACATAATAAACAGTGAGTGATAT